AATTCATATATGTGCAAAAACATTCTCAGAGACACTCTGCCTTGAACTAGGAGCTTCATGGTCTGAAGCTGTGACTAGCTTGTGAGCTACCTAAGATTTCATGTGGCTCAGAGTCCTCTTCAGGCACGCAACTGATAAGGGTGTACAGCAACATTAATTCTTGTGTTTGACAAAGAAAGAGTCAAACTACACACGATTCTGCCAAAGGTTGCCATTGGATGGAGAGTGTGATGTAGACTGAGGCTGCAGTGCTGGGGAAAGGGAGAGTGAAGTTTTTTGCTTCTCTATCTCTTTGACTAGCTAGCCTTTCCCCAAACTGCCTTAAAAAAAGATCTTTCATATTATGTCTCCTCCCCGCCTACTAGACATAAAGCAGCCCAAGGGGGCATTTCTGACTGGGAAACAGCAAAGGCTGGAAGATTTAAACAACCTCTTTCCCAACACTGCAGCCCCAGTATATTTTTCTGCCCTCCCCTAATTCTTTTATTGTTACCTTGCCTCACATGATTGATGTGAAGATAAAATAAAGGTGCAAGGAACATATATGCTGCCCTGAACTCCATGGAGGAAGGGTAGGATAGAAGTGTAGCAAATGAATACTAATTATTTGTTACTATAGTCAGAAAATGGTAAATAAGAAGCTATTATAAAAAGTTTGCAGAAGTGATACTTTTTAAATGGTAGTAATATTTTTATCATAAAACATTGACAGCTAGGCTGCTATGTATAGAAGACACATAGGCAGGGATCTTTTCATAGAAAAAGAGCTGCAGGAGCTCATTAGCATATAGTATGCTAATGAGCTACTAGGATATTAGCATAATAGCTCATTAGCATATGCAACGCCCCCTGACATCACCGGAAGTGATGTCAGAAGGAGAAGCAAATGGGGGGGAGACAGCTTCTAAAGCTTCCCCTCCCCTTCCCCAGCCAGTGGGGGAAGCAAAGAGAGAAGGGATTTAAAGTTTAAACCCCTTCTCACTACAGTTGGGCCGCAGAAGGAGGAAAGAAGGAAGGAAAGAGAGAGAGAGAGTAGAGAGAAGGAACAAAGGAAGGA